ATCCTTGGAACTGGTCTTGATATATCTTGAACAGTTATACTAACAACTACTGGTACAGGAGCTTATATAGCCAATGTTGTGAAGGTGAGGACGAAGCAAGGAGATAAAATTTTAAAAAAGAAAAACAGTAATCATTCAATTCAAAAAAAGTCTGAGTTTTACATTTAATGGATCTGACGCTGAAGCTATAGTCCTCTAGTCTTTTTTAACTGGGTGTAATTCTGTGCTTACTTATATCTGTAGGGTAACTACTGAGTAACATGTACCAGTTGTGATGAGACAAATACATATGGGACAACTTCAGCCTCTTTAAAACACAAATGAAAATATACACGTTACAAAAAGAACATAGCTTGCTAATGTGATATTCAAAGTTTTAAAAAAAAATAATGGAAAAATGTGCGAGTGGTCAGAGGTATTATTGGGATTGAGATGCAACTGGATATCATCTGCACTGAAATGAAAAGCAAGCGTTTCAGTGTGATTTCACCAAAAGTGAACATAAAGAAAATAATACCAGGCCTAACATTGAACCTTGGGGAACTCCACAAATCATTTATGCGAGCATTTATTTGTTCGTTTTATCAATACAATAATTCTTACCATGCACTGTAGAGCTTTCACAAACTGAATATTGAGCACTTACCCATGAAAAACATATGAAGTCATTTTAGGCAGTTTTAGGTAATCTACACTATATATCAGGATTATATATTATAGTGCAAGAAGAATGACAAATTGTGTGCTGGATAATATAAATATATTATCCCATTTGTAAAGCAGAAGGCTGTATTGCAAACAGAAACAAACCCTATTGTTATTGTTATCTTAAAAACTGTCAAAAGTGTGTACGGTTCTCATCTAAGAATTTGTATTAAGTATTTTTTGTCCATTCAGGCACTAAAGCACAAAGATAAGCTGGGTGTAGAATCATGTAAAGCAGTCTACCAAATTAATTATCACTAAAGTTTGCACATTTTAGCTGTCAAATTAATATGTCTTTGGAAAAAAAAACTGGAAAAAAAAAACCGAACAAAGCAAATGGACATTCAGCATGAAGCCCAGAATCTCTGCTGCACTTTCACGTGCTCTTAAGTGTGGTTTGTTTTAGTCAAAGCTTCCACACATAAACAACCAGGGTGGGAGAGTAAGAGCTCTCGAATCATTCTATAAACTGTTTAAGAAGAGGGTGACACAGCAGAAATGGAGATGAAAACAGAGAATCTTGCAAGCAGAGGAATTTTGCAATCTAATTCGATTGTATTGTAGAAACTACTTGCAAAAAAGAATAAGGAGAATGAGAATTTAAAAGTAGAGTCAAACTACTTAAACAGAGAATGAGGGTTTTTTGTAATCATTTATAGACGTAGCAGATATCATACTGAAGGGATATAAAATGTTGCATTTGTATATTTTAAGTCATTCTTGATTGTTTCCAGATACACTTAAATCTGAGCATGTCTTAAGGATGCAAACATTTTAAATCAACAAAGTTTTTTGTTTGTTTTGTACACAGTAGAAAAATTGATGAACTACGTGGTTTAAATTTTGAAGACGTTGGACACGCTTATTTTCTTTTCCTTCATTATTTTCTTACCTGCACTGATGGCCTTTAGTGTTTGTGGATATGAGCTGTGTTCTGACTCCATCCATGGTGAGTCAGATTGGCAGATACAGATACAGAACGCGGCTTATTGACTGGCAGTCCTGCCCATCTGTTGCGAGAACCATTTCCTATGATGTGTGAGATTTTAATCTTTTGATTTCCTTTTTCATTAGCAGCCCTTATATCTGAGACACGGGTAGTGGAAGATGAGCGGCCTGATCTGTCTCTCTCTGTATATGAAAATCTGGAGTCTGGACCTTCAGCGCTGGGGTTTGATAGCTGGTGAGGAAGGACTGTAACCAAAAGGTGACTAAAGGTTCATTTTAGACAGGAAACAATATGACTAACAATGAGCAAGACCAGTGTTTGTAGAAGAAAACAGAGTGTTAAAAGCAATACTGTGCAATATCTTCTGTTTCTAATAGTAACTGGATTTGATGAACAAAAAAACACACTTTGAAGTATGAGGGTGATAATTAACCACTTTAAAATAACTTGTTTTCCTGGCATCTTTTAAAGCAGTCTGCTTATTTATTTTCTGCAGACTGAAAATAAATCCATGTGCCATATTGCTTAGGATCATGGTGCAATGATATTATTGTAATATGCTGTGTATGTAACATATGTAAGATTTATGTGCGTTAGATTGATATTCTGGAGGAACCTTTAAAGCACTGTGCAGGGTTTTCTATTGAAGCTGATCATAATTAGCCATACAATGCATTAATGTAAGTACACATAGACAAATAGGGTGACAAGATGGGAAATTTTTAAGAACAGAAGCAAGACAAATTCCACTGTAGTGTTTTTTTCAGGCATCAACATGCTGAACTAAGAATTATGCCCTGTGTTCATTAATGAACTGCTCTGTTGCGTTCTTTTATGAATGATCCCGCTGATCAACTGAGTGATCAAAGCGGCACACTCTTAATCATAGCTCTTCTCCATGAGGTAAAGAACTCCGAGAGGTAAACATTCCATCTGGAGAATGAAACAGCTGGGACCTTTGATGGGTCAACAGCATCAATCAGAGTTTACTGTCCTGATCAGCGCTGAACCAGGGTTTTTATTGACTGTGCAGGTGATAAATAACCTCCACTGAACTATATTTGGGTGAAGAAGAATGCTCCACCTCGGTGGTAGTCTCTCACTTTTGCCTATGAGATTATTCCCTTTAGTTTCCATTCAGTAGCTTGTAAATTATTCTGGCAGTGCGGTCACTTCATGCTTTAAGAAAAGACGCCTGTTTGCTTCAAGTACCAGCAGATGGCGTCATAATAAGTCAGATACACTGACTGAAATAGATTGAAATAGATGAAATAGATTTTAAATGGTTTAGTGCAATCAAAATTGGCAAACAAAAAAATATGTTCTTTTTTTTACTCGACTTTAGCCCTTTTTTAGCCCTGCAGAATTTTTTCTCCCATATTGTATGTTGATGTCCAAACATTGCACATTGCAAACATTGCAGCCCTTGTTGAAAAAGGCTCAGATTTGCTGGTCTAACACCAAAATTGTTTTTTCAAGGTTTTCCATCAGAGTTTGTAACCATGGCTGTGGAATTGGCTCTAATTCTTCCACACTTACAGAGGTGTACCACTGACATTTCGCAATAAGTACAGCTTTGTGCACTGGAGACCTGTCAAGACATGAAGACAGAAACCGTTTTTTCTCCACACTCCTTTAAACCAGCAAAAGGGTCAGTTTTTCTCTTCACTTTCATGTTTTGATCTCAGCCAAAGTGCAGCCTGGACCACATGAACAGAAAATAGAACTTAGTTGTTGTGTTGCAGGTGCTGTGGGTGCAGATGCAGATCATTCCTGCAGTGCACGTCATACACTGAGGTTTCCAAACTCTGTGTGTGACCATGGTTCACCACCAGACCAAGCTTTTCCATCATCGTCTTCTACTGCTACCCAGCACGACAAGAACATGAGCCAAAACAGAGTTCACCACCACAGGAGCCACACAGACACACCCCAGGGGTATACACTCACACAAATGCACACGCCCTGTGTCGGACACACCCCTTGCCAAGCGCATCAGAAATGCCCCGAGGTATGGCAAAACACAGTTGCTCCATCAAACATTGGCTACAGCAAGCCAAGGAGTGTATGAAATACAGTCTTGCATGTGAGACTAAAACCTTTCTATCTTCTCATGCACAACAGAAGGTACTAAAACAGCTGAGCTGAACTGAAACTTGATCCTAATTGCACATAAATCTTGCTGTGATTTCTAGCTTCATTATGTTAGTGCATGAAATAGCTCACCAGAAAATAAAAACAGAAACTGTCAACCTAAAGCTTTGAAGCATCAAAAGTTGCGCTGTCCATTTATTATGCTCTACTTGTATAATCGGTGTTCTCAGTTTTAACTTTGAGCTCTTTTTAGAACTGTGTCATGTATATGGTATTTAGGATTTTGTTGCTTTATGAGTTTTTCCTCCTTTGACAATAGTCAATGAATGATGCACATTAACAGGTTCAGGTTCTGCTCTCTGTTGTCAGAGATAACCATGTTGTCCTCTGGGAAATCAAGGAGGAAGGCTTACTGTTAAAAATTGAGAAAAGTAGTAGGAGGAAGGGAACTATTACTCTGTCACGTTACTTTTCATAACTGACATCATTGAAAGAGCTGTAAATCCAGTTTAACACTGAAAATGACACAAATTCCACCACTGCAATGCATTCTTCCCCATCTATTAGCTTCATTAAAGCCTCACTGTGCAGTGAGTGCAAAAAGCCACCACCTGTGCAGATCCACAGCAGACTCCAAACTATTAATTCTGCATACACACTCTCTGTTTTCAGGCTTTCCAGTCTCCAGTCCGAATGCCCTCCTTTCAGGAAGTGGGACAAAGGAATTTTTTGAGCTGCCCACTGTGATTCATTGCTGACACACACACACACACACACACACACACACACACACACACACACACAGAGTAGGTTTAGCCTTTATTTTAACTTAGCTCATTATTCATGGCTGAGTTTTAACACGACGACCGGCACTCTGACTCAGAGGGGTTCTGGAGGAGAGTCAGGTGGAAGTTGAAAGAAGAACTCTTCTTCTAGAAAGAGTTTTGTTCACGTTTTCTTTGTTTTTCTGGCAAGCAATGCAGCATCAGAAAATCTAAGTGTGCAGTTTTAAATTGGTTTGGTATCGTTTTTTTCGTCCTAAGAAGTAAAAAGGAAACAGATTTAAATATATATATGTCGGCTAGTAAAGAATGTACTATTGCTTTAGTGCAAAAGAGCTGGAATTAAACAAATGTTGGTTGTTCGAAGTCACAAGACAATAATGCACAATTATAACATTTTATTAGTGCTTGATATTCCCAGCTCGAACACGTCGTTAATGCTTAGTTTAACAGCTCCTTCTTACATAGGTGTCTGCATTGCCTTATAGTCATAGACCGATTAGCTTCTGCAGCACCTGAAGAGCCGCACGGAGCTCCAGTGGAGGAAAGGAGGCGGGGCATTGCGCACCACGAGAGGAACTGAGATGTGAGCGGGTCTCTCTGCTGGATGCAGCCAGAGTTTAGTCCCACGCGTTTCAGCAACAGCAGGTCCACGGGCTTGCCTAAAACCGAGGGGTTTAAAACTAAATTGGAAGAAAAAAACTTTGCAGGGGGTTTATTTGTTTCACCGGGGAGCGAGAAGAAGAATCCCTGGTCACTCTGGATTTATTGAGAAAGTCTCAGTCTTGAGAGATTGTCCAGCGGAATATGATTTGAATCAACAAGACGTACCGCACTGTTGCTCACTAACAGAAAAGCAGGTAAGTTTGTTTCCAACTCCGCTAGTTTCCAGGATTTTTTTTCTTTCTTTTTTTTTTGGATATACTGTATATTCGTGGACCCTGACCCTCTCCTCCTGCTCTGTATATCGCAGCCTGTTTGGAAATGTTTTTTCTGGCCCCTCACACCATTTCACCAACTTCCCATTTGTGTTTTCTGAGCCTCTAACCATGACTCACTTTCCTTTCAAACTGAAAACATTTTCACTGTTTTCCACCTCGCCTTTTGTCTTTTGGGGAAAAAAAAGAGAAAGAAACAGTCATGCTTAGAGGTTGTGATCTTTTTGTGTTTGGTGCAGGTGCACACTAATGTGCCCCCAATTACTCATAACAGATAAAAAGCAAGTCTTTGCTTCTCTTGACCCTGTCCTGGGATGAGAATGTTTTATAATAGAATCCTACATTGTTTAATGCTTATTTTCTTTGGCACACTATCGTCATCCTGCTGTGTTATTCCGTTTTTGACATGTATGAGTACCGCTTCATGTTTTCTGCCTTCAAGCACCTGTTAGTGCTGTCTGTGTGAAAATCTTCTCCGTGAAACATATGTTGCATCTGAAAGCTGAGTTTTCTCACCCAGACTTGCTCTACAATAGCAAATGAGCTCGTACCGTTCAGACATGATATAAATCAGGCAGATAGCGCACACTGGGGGGTTCTGAATGGTCTTACGCATAGCTGTGGGCATGAATATAAAACCCAAACTAACTGTGCAGCACGTTATTGGCTTATTTTGGTTTACAGCCTTGGACTGTGTGTATGAAGCCACATCCAGACAGGGAGCATGAAAATGCGCATTTTGCCAATTCCCTCTGGTGTTGCTGTTGCCCCCCCAAACAACCTCCCACTGGATTACCATTTAGTTGGTGGGGTTATTTATCATTTTGCTGGAAGGTGCCCCTTGCCTTCTCCCTCCCACCTCTTTTGTTTTAATTGAGTTTATCTTTGCTCCCTTGGGTACTTGCTGTCTAAACTTAGGCCAGTGCCTGCTTCAGCGTGTAGAATGGCCTCCTCTCAGGGTGATTCACTGCTTTGCTTTGTGCTGTGGTCACATGGGAGCAGAGCAGAACAGAAGTGCTCGCCCAAGTCTTGTTGCTTGTTCATCCAGTGGTCAGTGAAGGCAGATGTTCAAGTGTCCATGATAAGAGGACTGATATCAAAGTTCTGTGTCACCAAAAAGCCTCCAGTGACTTGAGTATGACTATATTAATTGCTTGTGGTGATGTGAGTAAACCCTGACTTTACTCCCTGACAGAGTTCTACTTGTGAATCTAAATAAGGGATTTGAATCTTCCAAATCAGCACAAACTGGAGCTTTTTCCCAAAAGTTCACACTCTACACAATTAAGGCCACCTACTCAGAGAGGCATGTGATGAATGCTTTAGTACTTGTTGTTATAGCAGCAATGTTTTAATAATTCATTTCCCGTGTCTCTTATTTCTGGAACAGGATGAATCTCTGTTTGCTTCATGCCATCATGTTGCTGTGGGCTGTTCGCTCCAGCGTGCAGGGCCAGTGCGATAAATCATCAGAGGATACCAAACTCAATCTCTCGGTCACCTATGAGCTCCCATCGTTTACTGCAGAATTCCCAATCCAGAACATGGTGATACTGGATGGAGTCATCTATGTTGGTGCTGTAAACAGAATATATGCCCTGGCCCCAAACTTGAGAAAGCTGTCGGAGTACCACACAGGTCCGCTGCGTGCCAACGAGACCTGTGGCCAGAAGCTGAACGGAGCAAGCAGCAGTGGAAGAGTAGACAACCACAACATTGCCTTAGTAGCGGAGAACGTTTACGACAAGGGGTTGTACAGCTGTGGCTCAGCAGATAACGGTGTTTGCCGCCGTCACGTCGTGGATGATGGCGTGAGAAAAAGTGTAGATGAAGAAGTCTACTGCTTTGCCGACAATAAGAAACTAGAAACCGGGCAACCCGATGACTCAGATGTTGTAGTCAGCCCTTTGGGCTCCCAAGTGCTGAATGTGGAGAGCAACGTCATCAAATTTTTTGTTGGGAACTCAGAAATTCCCGGCAGAAGAAACATCTCAAGCAGTGCAAAACATCCCCATACCCTTTCTCTGCGGAAAATGAAGACAAGCCAAAATGGTTTTACTTTCTTCTCAAACAGATCATACATGGACCTAATTCCATCTCTACGTGGAAATTACTACCTGCGCTACGTTTACTCCTTCCAGAGTGGACCATTCACCTACTTCCTCACCGTGCAGCAGGTGAGCAAGAACTCTCAGGCCTACCACTCCCGCATAGTCCGCATGTGCTCCACAGACTCTGTGATTCGTCGCTACGTGGAAATGCCCCTTCAATGCATCAGCACCAATAAGCGACGGCGGCGCTCTGGGACAGATGTGAAAGTGTTTAATATCTTGCAGGCAGCCTATGTCACTAAAGCAGGAATTGACCCGGAATTCCAGAAGCTCATGAAGTTGGAAGAGGACGATGATGTGCTGTTTGCTGCCTTTGCCGAAGGAAAGCCAAACTCTAAAGACCCAACACCTAATTCAGCGGTTTGTGTGATTGCCCTGAAAAATATCAACGCCATGTTCAAGACCTACATGGGAACGTGCAACACCATAGAGCCATACCACTTCACTGGTTTAGACAACATTTCCTGCTACAATGGGGTAAGATCTGGGAATGGGAGGGGCTTACAGTTCAGTAAAAGTCATTGTAGACCAGAGGTAGGGGAACGCCAGGTCTCAAGGCCAGTGTCCTGCAGGTTTTAGATGCGTCCTTGATCCGACACAGCTTATTTAAAGGGCTAAATTACCTCCTCAACATGTCATGAAGTTCTCAAGTGGCCTTGTAATGAACTAATCATTTGATTCAGGTGTGTTGGCCCAGGGTGAAATCTAAAACCTGCAGGACACCAGCCCTTGAGGTCTGGAGTTCCCCACCCCTGTTGTAGACTTAGAGGGGAAAAAAGAACAATCCCATTTAAATAGAAAAAAATATTTGGAAATAATGTTTGTCTTGCTTTTTATAACTTCATAGCGTTTCTCCATTTAAAAAAACAAAGCAATGTCCATGTATTGTTTCAAATATTTGATCTTCCTAAGATATAATAGTTCTTGCAGTTATGTTCCAGTACAAGTCTGCAATGACTATTGCTGCATTCACATGTATTTTTATGGCACTTTTTATGACTAGAGTGAGTTTTCCTGAAGGAAGTTTTAGAAGTGTTCCAGTGAAGTTTTACAAAGATGTCTGATTTTAATCTTTTGGAATTATAGACTTTACCTGTTAGACTAAATCCCATTTAGTTTGTTGGACGTAGAGACTGTAAGTTACTGGGTGGTCTCAGGTTCACACAGGCATTGTATCTACTTTGTGCTTGTCTAAGTTCCCTTGAGCAAGATATTGAAACATAACTTTGACCTCTGGCACCTGTTTTTAGGGGTGTACAGTGCAGTCTGTTGGTCAGGGGCAATTCTCGCATTGTTGTGGCTCAGTAAGCCAGCACACTGAACATGAAATTATAGAATGACAAGGAGCCAAAAAGTCCTGACCTTCAACTTTAATTTGAAGTTGGTTAAGCACATTTCCTGCTCAGAGAGGCTGCTACTGTCAGAGAGTGCAGTTGTCCAGTTAGGAGATGCTTTGCTCAGCAGCAATTTTCAGGTGGGTGCAAGTCAGAATAACATCCCCATAATGGGAGCCCAGGTTCCAGCATAAGACTGCATTGTAACAAGATGAGTAGCAGTAGTTACTTAACTAACTGCTTAGTGTTTTAATGTTGTGGCTAATGGATTTTTTTTTGGTTTCTTAAAATTTCTTTACTTTAATCTGATGTGGAAGGATCTCTGAATTAAATCTGAAAGTCAGCTGTAGCTAATATGCTAGAGAAGTCCCCCCCCTCCTCCATTGCTGTTGCAAAATTGTTGAAGCTGGTCATCTTTTCTGCTTCGCCTCTGTCCTCTGATCTATCAGCAATGGCCCAATCAATCGGCTGAATCACCTGATCAATAACGACATGAAGTTAACTGCTGACCACCCTGACAAAGGGCCTGTCAATATGTGTACTAGAGCTTGCCCCTCCGTGACTTCATCTTTACTTAACCTCGGCATCAGTCAGTACTGTATATCGCCAGTCAGGCACTGGATTACCTCGATATATTATGCAGTGAATAGGTTGTCAAAGGGCAAGCACACACAGGAGTAATGAGAGAGTCAAGTGGAAACAGCCAACACACTCCAGAGGAAAACTGCTGTCAAAACACTGGGCGTGTGTGTTACTACAGAGGCTGTTTTTGTGTCACGAATTGGCTTTAAAATCGTTGGATTAGCCTTCATAGTAGCAACGTTTATTGCCGCTTGACTGCAAACCACAACCATGCACCATATCTGGGGTTAAAAAGCATTTCTGATTGATGAGGTTTGCACAATTGATCCTTTTTGTTATAGACTGTGTACTCCAGTGAGTGACTTTTGCATACTAGGCTGCTGTGTTTTAGACATTTTAGTGGATTTCTCTATCTTTCTAAGTGTCCTTCTTGTACAAAATAAAAATCAATAAACAGACAGTTTAAATTAGCTTGAAATGCATAACCCGTTCCAGTAAACAACAAGTCTGCAATATAGTGTAATCCTCATGAGCAAAGATTTGTTTACATTCAGCTTTTGCCATTGCTTGCATGCTTATGGCTTAACAATCCTATTTAATGAACCTTTAGAAATGGCATGTTTGCAGAACTGTGTTTTGAATTGTCTACATGCTTATTCCATTCCATTTCCCTCACACAGACTTTAAGAATTGCAATTTAGTTTTGAACAATCACATTGCTCTCATTTAAAAAGATTCAGTCAGTGCTAAGTTGCTAGCCTTCCATCTCCTGCTTCCGTGAGAAGGAAACAGGAGACAACTGAATGTATCGGCCGTAGCTTGTCATCACCAATATCCGATTCAGCTCATCGAAGAAGGATAACTGATCCGGATCAGTGCATCCCTAGTCATTTAGAGAGTCTTTTGTTCTGTGGTCAGAATATCTCCAGCTCTAGGTTTGTAAACTGCAGGTGCCAACAGTTGTTCTTTTGGTCTAAAGATCCATTGGACTGCCATTTGAACCAAAACATACAACTGATGGAGAACTGTGTCATGTGCTGGTACACATCGTGCAGCAAGGCTGCAGAGAAGAACAAGAATACCATCACTAGTTGAATTCTAAGACTGCAGAGTTTGGTGTCTATCCATGGGATGAGGAGCTCACCGATGAGGCAGATGATCAGATCATTAGTAATTACACAAAGTGTGTGTAGTATTATATATTTATTGCTCTAAAAGGTGTGAGTACATGTCCTAATGCATGCAAATTCAACCTCATCCTGCTGACACGTATACAAACTTTTCTTGCTGTGTATCAGTTTTCTTCTGCAGGTCTTTTTTTCTGATAGATTCGTTCTTTTTCTGGACACATTACCTCGACTAAATGTTCATTAAATGTTCACTGTTCCACTGCATCAGCAGATGCGAAATGAGCAGAAATGTAATTCATAAAACATTCCTCCAATGTGCTACAAGTGATCAAAATCTGCAAAGCTGTATCTTGCCAATCTGCGGTCTGATCTTTTAGTTCTGAATGTGGTGATTTTTTTTTCTTTTCTTTTCTTTTCTTTTTTTTTTTTGATGGGACCTTACAGACAGACATGAAGAGTGACACGTGGTTGAAAGGAGATTGAAAGCAGCTTTACGAATACATGCACATACGTGGTGGGTGGGTGTTTGTGTACATCAGTGCAGTCCTGACAGCTATCAGCAGCAGAGATCCACAGGGGAAAGTGAGGAATGCTGGGAGCAAGGGATGGTGGGGGGGCGGGGGGGATTTGAGGGCAGTGCATATCTGACTCTCAGTGAGCTGTGATGAATGGCTGGGGGATAACAGGGCATCAGCAGCTGGGTGGAAGATGATCCTCTAAACCCGCTGTGGCAGCCAGCCACACTGGCAGTGTCTCTGCCCTGCTTGCCCTGACCCCCACCTGTTACCGGCACCTGTGGGAAAGTGCAAAATGCATCCACGGCAAAACAGTTTCATCATGATGAGCGCAAATTTGCAAAAGTGCATTGGTGTTTAAAAATTAGAAGATGCACTTTTAAAGTTTGTGTCATTGTAAAAACAGGACTCCCATTGGGAGAGAGCGGGGCGGGAGGGGGGAGTTTAAAAATGGAGAACTCAAAACAAACCACAGACCAGACCTTGTTGCTCTGTGCATCACTGCTGAACAGATGTGATTTTTTTTTCCCCCCCGCTGCTTAACAGTGAATACATTTGGATCCTGAACCATTTATCTGCTGTAAGCTCACAAAGTTTATTGAGCTACTGTGCGCGGGATCAAAACAAAAATCTTCCTGTTGCAAATCAAACAGCTCCCACCTCAATCTACTTCGGCTCCAAACTTCTTGAAAAGGAGACTCATTTATCAGATGGCAAACACTGAGCATACCCTTTTCTCTCCTGAAACCACAAACAGCAATTGTCTGTTTCCTCTCCTTGACAGGCTCCATAAAAACTGCTGTTTTGATCACTGAGTGAGAGTGCACTATTCCATTATTAGACATTCTTTCCTCTTGACTCAGTTGATTACAGGGTGACATCAGTTTTTGCTGGAGGTACAGGAGCATCTCCGTGCTGTGTAATTATCAGAGGACTGCTTCTGTTGTCTCTTTGTCATTCACTGCAGTGCACACATTTTGATTTAAAAGTTGATTTTAAAAACTGCGCCTCGTTCTTTCTTTTGCAACTGTTTTTGCTCACTGCTCCTTATTTGGTATCCTGACACAGACATGCAGCCACTGTTGACTTTGTTTCATTCGTCTGCAAAAAAAAATCTGGGGTTTCAAAGTATCTCAAAGTTTGAAACTAGAGTTGCACAAATGCAGCAGTTCAAGTGCCGAATTGCTGCTGCCAAAAGAGCTTTTACTTTTGAATTTCTCTTTTATTGCTGACAGTCCTCGTGTCCTCGGCTGCCAGGTTAAGAAACAAGCTGTAACAACAAAAGGCTATCGAACAACTGTCCACCTGATGCTCGTGCTTTAAGTATGGCGTAGAGTCATGGCTCCACTTAATAGATTTATGACCTATATTCAGTGGCATATGGCAGGTAGACTCTGTTATCAGGAGGTTTGTGAGAGTTAAGCACAGCCATAAATTCATGAGCTGCAGACATTTGGAGGATTCATACTTAGGCACACAAGAGGTTATTTTTGTCAGTTGCTCCACCAAACTGTGTGTTTCTGATGGAATACTCCCAATAGGGATCTGGATGAGGTTGAAAGCTCAGTGTAAGAGCATGTTTGAAGTTTTTAAGTGCTGGTTGTCAGCTCAGACGTGCCTCTTAACTCCATTTCAGGCAGCAAGATATGATAAATGTTGTAATGATGAGTGGCCCTCTTTTCAGCTGTCTTTGTGACAGAAAAAATCTGCTTTTTAATTATTTCTGCAGGCTTATTTCTGTCTGCACGCTCTTCTCAGTTGCATGAAAGCCATAAAACTGAAAAAATAATAGATGATGTTAATCATGAAACAACTGAGCAACCAGGAGCAACTTCTATTTAATTTAATATTAGTTTACAATAAATTAGATCTATTGAGGATGTATAGAGCAATTAAAAACTCCTAATTATCAACAG